TTTTTTTTTTTTTTTTATTTATTTGTTGAAATTACAATCAATTCTCGCGTTGAGAATTTTCAGTAATTTTTATAATAGGTATAATTTGTAGGTATTATAGGTAAGTGCATATGCTTAGTTTGGATAACTAAATGAATCTTGCGTTTCCTGACCTAAAATGGCATGAACAAATCCGATGGTCCTAGCTTTCACTAGCTTTCCTCCGACACAGCATCGTCACTCAACTTTACTTCTTCTACATCGTTGGAAAAGTCAACTACTAAGTATAACGCTACTGCCTATCGGGGCAGTCTAAGCATAACACGAGAGTCGGTCTCGGTATTGTCGAGCATACATTTCCTCTCCTAAATATCTTATACTGCTACGTCCACTAATACATTAAATCCAATTATAAGAGCCCTGCTCCAACGTACATATCTATCTTATCTTTCTGCGATAAGTGATTATCTATCTATCTATGCTCATCAGTGTAATCTAAGTGTTGGAAACATATAATTTATAATTCTGTGAATCACAGTGTTATACAAACTCAATCACCCCTATTATCTCAACGGAAATCAGGGGATCGATCAAGTCGTAGTGTCGATTGTTATAATCGTAACGGGAATTTACGACTCCCGTTGACGTCTCTCCTAGCGACTACGTCTCCCCGCGAATGGTCGAACAAACAGTATTAGTTTAATTATTCCCAAAATAAACTCGATTTTCCAGAATCGATCGTCTGATTTACCCTAAGGATTTACGTTATTACATATATATATATTTATTTAAAGGTATATATTATATAAATGTATATTATATATACATATTTCAAACGTATTTCTTTCGCTGAGTATAGAATAGAGCACTCCGCTAACAAGACGCTCACGCGTAGAATCTTGGGAATTGAAAAACAGGGGAGAAACATTCAACAGGAAAAGAAAAGTTGTTTGACATAACGTTCATGAATAATTCGTCAGAAGTTTCAGAAATTTAACTTTATTCATTGGTATTTTTCCGATTTTCTTCCAATACAATTCGTAGCACGGAGAAATATCACACCGACTAGGGGAGAACACGCAGAGGAGAAATCGCGTGCGCAACTTCGCGTACGATCAAAAAGGATCACCCTGTTGCAGCTACGAACGGCCGATCGTTTTTCAAAATCTTCGATCCGAGGAATACATTGGACGAAGCTAGGCGATTCCGAGAGGCTTCTAGGATGTCATTACCGTGCGGTTTTCCAGCCATGCTCGTTGATAGAATATGCATAACGCGTGTTTCAAGAAGGGAGGCGGCCTGAAAGACGGGCCAGGCGAAACATATGCAACCATTAAATTTTTCATTTTTTCCTGCTGTGCCGAAAAAATTATGGATATATACATGGAAGGAGAGACGTGCATGGAAAAATTCAGTAACAGGTGGAAGTATTTGGCTCGATAGTATTGATCTGCTGACTATACCGATGCTATTTTCGATGCTACACGGTGCTACTGATCGATAAATAGCGTAACATCTCGTGGGTGATAAAAGTATTATGCAACGTTCTATAAAAAATGTTATGAGGCCGAGGGTATTATTTTTAAACGACACAAGCGCGTTCATGTGTCACGTTTTGCAATAATTAATTTTTATTTCACCGAGTTCACAATTGAACCAAATTGGTATATAAGCTTCCTGTATTGGGTTGCATTAAAAAATTATAGCGAAATTTCTGGATAAAACGAACAGATGATGAAAGCGAAAGGATTAATTAGAAGATGTTCATGAAAGAAAGAAACGTGTTTCGCAGAAACTGTGTAGTCGAACGTAATTTACAGTATATAAATTTTTCATTAAATTATATAGAGCGTAAAGTATCGTGTTAGGATGAGATTCTCAGATCTCAAGAAAGAAGTTGAACGAAATTTTCAGACGTGAAAAATGTTTCTGAGAGAGCAAATAAGTTGCAAGTTACAAGATAATTATTCCGTTTCTGCGAACGTGACAGATTACGTCTAAATGTTCCCATTGCGAGCAACCATAAATTCCTTTATCATGATTTGTACGGCCGATTAAACAGAAATTACAGTAACCAGAATTTGATGAGTACCTAGCGTGCAAAGTCTACAATAAACGTCCTAGTTTTGCAAATATGAAATATGTAACTTATTGTAGCTGGTATCATGCGACGAGCCTGACAAACGAGCAACGTAATAGGAATTGCACATATTTATATATTAATCGACTTTCTGTTGATACAAGTTAGTGATATAAAGGCAAATACTGCGCTAATTCATTGGAAATGTAGGTGATGTAATGGTACAGCTTTCGCGGTGATAATAATCGGATTGTCACAAATTTTCCTACTGCTCGTTAATAGTCGGGTCAGAACGAAACATCTGCACATCAGAATAGAAAGACTACTTTAACACGTTAATACCTTTGCAAACGAGAAATTGGAACAGATCTTCATTCATTTCCAGTGAAATGATGTTTTCATCCTTATACTCGCGGTGAAAAATTGTTGTTTTCCTATTCATAAAAGCGTGCATTATTTTCTTGGTAGCATAAACGAAGCACTATTTGAAGCTTAGTACTTTATTCAAATATTTACTGGGGCGTGAATTTAGATTAATAATTACTTTTAGCAGATATTCCAAAATTAACATTGCTTTGAGCATTTTTCTAAAGGAATAAATTTTAATAACATTTTAAAGTGAAATATGTTCGATGATATATTCTACAGTACATAGGACGTTTCATCTAACTTTATCGTATAAAATTTCATAAAAATGGTTGATGGTAAAAGAAGTAATTTTTTAGCCGAAACCAATGTATAGCGAGGATAGTTTTGTTCTATTGAACAAAAAATCACGAAATAAAGAGAGCAACTTCTGTTTTTTTATTTGAAACTGTATATGTAATTTATTTGAACGAGTAAATTTAATAATAATCCGTGCGGAACTGTTGTTACTATACACTACACCGGTAAAACAATTTTCATGAAGGCATTTTTGAAGGCATTTTTATGGAATTTGATCTATTGGACTGTTGTATGTTGTAAATTGAAATAATCATCGAGTTTCTAATAAAGCTAATAAAAATAACAAAAATTCATACTTCATCTAATCGTTATTATTGGTTTCATTAAGGAGTTCATTTCATAAAATTACTAAAATTTCATATTTTTTAAAATCTCGTCACAAGTAGTGTCAGTCGATAACTAGTCGGACACTTTCGTTTCGATCGAACTTCACCGTAATGCAACGAATGTTACTGAAAATTTACAATCGTTATTTCGCCCTTGTCTCCTATTTCGGCGCCATTTCGCGAATGGAATATATTCTTTCAGCCAAATTTACTGAGTTGGTAGCAATCTTCTCCAACCACCAAAATACACTTTCTGTGCCGATGATCGATTCCGTTGGAACACGTTTATCATGCTTTCCCAGCGTTGTATGGGAACAAGGTCATCGTTACAGGATTGTCACGAAATTATTTGCTAACCGTGAGAAAGGACTGCTGCTCTGATTGCCGATTAACGTCGTAATTATTCACCGGTAGTTCAGTAATGTGAGTTTCGAGCATCTGTGACCAGAGCCAAAAGGTGATCAACATTCGATAATGGGACGAATGGAAATCTATGCTATTCTATATCTTCACTTTGATAACTAGACTTTGAAATTTAAAGATGCACGAATGAACAGAATGCATAGTTTGTCGGAAAACCTTGATCGATCGTATCGTACAAATTGTTGAAAATATTAAATTACGATAAACACACAGATTGTGATAATCATAGTGCTTGCTTTCTTTACGTACGAGCAGTTAAATTCAAAGAGAATTTCATGCGCCGAGTTCCGTAAACATACCCATCGGCCTTTAATAAAATAGTGCAGCTTTAATAAAAGAAGAATGTTGAATTACAGTCACGTTAAGTCTTTTTTCTCACCGTCAAGCGATGTAAAAATTAAGGAAACGCAATTATGGCCTGTAAGCAGTTTTTAAAGGAAAATATAACATCGTTATCACGGAGGAAAGTTGCTCGACAGATATTTCTTAATTTAATTCGCTGCGCTTCCAGGAATGGTACTCGTCTCTGAACGCTCTTGAAAAATGCAAGTTAACCATGTTGCGCGAAGAAAATGGCATAGGGCTGGAGTACACGCGATGCGTAGCGAAATCCGGGCCGCTTTTTCCATGCTTTCACGTTGAGAAATTTCGAGTTTCGGGTTTTCAGGCCGTGGAACCGACCGGAATATCGTTTCATCCCTTCTAATTAGGTCACAGCTTGTCGGTGGTGCTCCTTCCCTTTTAAAGCCATTGATGTTCGCCGAATGAGGCAATTAGAAGACCCTTAGAATCGGCTAGAAAGGCCGCCGGAATAACACCAATCAATTTTATCTTTAAATTTTAAGAGTACGTCCAGCCCTCCAGTTTCCATCGAATACAAATCAAATCTTCCCGGAAAAATTCTATCTGGTTAGAATGGTAGAATTGCGGTTAATCACACCAATATTCGCATAAAACACCATCTCTGTATTTATCGCTTTGTATAAAAAGGAATGATTACGATTTATTTAGTCTACACGCAATGGTATAAACTGCTTATTGTAAATTGAACATGCGTAAATAATTTCTGTTTAATCGTACAGAGTAGATTTTTAATTTGATTAAGACATTCATTGCAAACGATAAAAATGCTCAAACATATCAACATTTGACAAATGTCCAGTTTTTCCAAAATGTTTTAATTCCTTTTAAATTTAGGTGTCTGCGTATCGATAAGATTTGTATTGATTTTTTATTTCTTAAAAGATCTAATACGGATATTATTTTTTCAAGCGAAACTGTCAGCAATCAATATGGTTTACTCGAGTTTAATTGGACTTGGCCAATGAGTCAAACATCTCCAATTTTTCCAACGATTACTTATAACGCTCTCGGTACAAAATGTTCCGTTTCCTTTGAAACGACTACCACGAATATCAATTTTATTATTATTAATCCTTTCACTGCAATCACCTTTGAAAGGAAAGTAATTTTCATTTTTGCCAGAGGAGAAAAAATCGTCTTTCTGCTAAGCACCCTCTCGCTTTCATAATGAAAACAACTCTAAAGTGCTTTTCTTCTTTTAATTTATTACTCTGAAACGTAAAATAAATATCTGTAATTATACTAGCTCGATGTAAAATAGAATTAACTCCTGTACGTTTGATATTCTCGGTTGGTTTTCGCAAAAATCTTGTAGAAAATGTTTCTTTCGAATAATGAATGTTAATTCAAAATTTATTAAAGTTGGAAAATTAAGACGTGTAGTCCAATTCTTTTCGTCAAAAATTTTCTGTCACTTCGATGTAAATAAAATAACCGCGACAACAATCTCAAGGAATGAAAGCTTTTGAAAAATGCTTTTCACATAATTTAATTAATAAATTTCACAAACTTTCGATGTTCATTGTATTTGTGCTTTTATGTACATTTACAAGTTGGCATGTGGTAAATATATGTAATAAATAGGCTCTGACTGTTGATGCAATTTCATATTTTTATAAATATAAGCAAGGAAAAAATGATTCTTAAAATTAAGATAGTCGCAGAAAATGAAATTGATCAGTTTAGCTTCTGAGTGGTTGACATTTAAAGATTGGGCGTAAATTTATTGCAATAAGGATAAGGATAAGATAATGAATATGCTACAAAATAATTCAAATCTCTCGTTTTTAAAAACCTATACGATGAAACAAGTTCCAATAATATTCCAAATCTATTAATAATCAACACGTGACAAATAATATGAAGCGTGAGCTGGTGGAATATTTTACTTCATGACGTTGTCGACTGATAAAGTAATTTCAGGTTGCCATGCCATGGCTCTCATAAATTCACATAATTTTATGCAGTCACATTTATCTTGTTCATTTTATGAAACGTGGAAAACGTAAAATAACCGTAAAATTTAAACGCCCTTATAAATGATGGGCAAGCATAGTAAATTAAATTTGTTAATTTTCTTACTGTATTTGACTTTACAAGTTCTACGAACATTAAACGTTCAATTCTCTCTTATCGTTTTTTAAAAAAAAGTAAGAAACTCCACAGAATGCGTATAATATGAAAAAATATATGAAATATCCAGAGCACAGTGCTCTCTATGAAACTTGCTAGGCAGAAGAATTTTCTGCCTGGTTTCTATTTTCTTAAATTATATTCTCGAAAATATAAAATCCACCATCTATTCGCCACACTGCTAATTAAATAAATGTTTTCTATGCCAAGTATCTTGATATTTTCATAATTAAGTATACAATTACGAATGTAAAACTAATAGCTGACAGCGACGAACCGATTCGATTATGTTGTACGAAACGGAGTATAATACAAAGGGAATTGGGTAAGTTGTTTCGCGATACCAAGCGTGTATTCTTCTTTCGTAACGAAGTTAATAATGTACGACAGGCCGCCTAATGCTGTTTAGAATGTTCTGGAATTTCGACAGAGTGTTTACCCTGGCATATTATGTCAGTGGTTTAGTCCCGTTCGCAATCGGAACATTAACTACGTTTGCACGTGTGGCGGTAGCGACTTCGCGCTGGCTTACGCGGCTTACACAGGCTGCCCATCCGTAAAATGGGACAAAGCATTTGCATTGCTAATTTCTTGCATCGCGTTACATTGTGCGCGTTTGTTGACCCGGAACAAGATTCCGTCGGGCCCAAGTCGTACGAGGCTTGTTCCTTATTTCTTACGACCATCCCTAAGGTTTGCTTTACTTACTTTCGTTATTCATTGCAAGAGCAACAAAATTTTAATCTTTACGGTATAGGTTCTTCCATGATGTAGCTTATATGATATATAACTAGTATGATATTTTAAATAATATAACTTACTACGCTTACAGAACCATTTTTGAACGTATTATACGTATAACATGTTAAAGAAACGTTTTTTGCATAGATTCCCAATTTTTTCAATTTTTACATGTTTCCAATTTCCAAATATTTTTCTCACCCGCTATACGTATTGTGTGAACTGTCGTGATATGGCACTTAATTATACAAAGTATTACGGTAATTATATAAAGGTATTTGATCTACAATAAATATAAATTATTCGTGCTCGACTTAAATTATCTAACTTTGTTGCTCGAAAATATTCATATGACACGATATTCGCGGTTCAAATATATACAATTTGCGCTGCAAGTTTTAGCTACGTTCTAGCCTAATTAAAAACAAGTTATCTAATTAGAGATAGTTTTAACATGAAATGTTTCCGTTAGAAGTTTAATGGGGAAAAAAACCGAATGAAACTCATAGCAGCGCATTTCATTTATACGACGTCACGTTTGTGAGGGTATAAAAGAGAAGCGTGGAGATACAGCCTTGCTAACAAAGAGTTATTGCCCGATGTGATATCGCGAACAGTTACGATAATACGTAATACTACAATGTTAACTTTATTAAGAGATACACAAGGCGAGGAAATACGTAACACTGAGTACAACGTAGTGAAACGACATTCATCTTCTGCTTGAAAATAACCCGCAATCCCTAGCTGAATATTAAATATAAACGAAGGGAGAGCGTAGGCTATGCGCCCACTTCATTAAAGGATATAAATATTACACGTCGATAACGAAACACGAAGATATTTTCATCGAAAGTGCTGTATGCGTTGCGCGCTACTTATTCCAAAATGAAATCAATAAAAAAAAGTCAAATAAATTTATTTGCGAATAAGGTTGTTCGCAAATGAATTCCACAAGATCTTTTTCTATTCTTATAAACATCGCTAAAACTTTCACTTTAATCTTCGAAGGTGATGCGCCAAGCAGACACGGTTTCCATTTCAGCTTTTTTAGGTATCTCGATATCATCTTTTATACGACAGAATGTCCAGCTTTTAACGCTCGTCTGAGATGAGAGGAGAAGGAGAAGTCAGGTAATCAGAGACCTAATGAATATTCAGTCGTGGAACAAGGAGAAAGAAATTTCGTGTCAAAAGCTCCTGAATAAAATAATTTTGGTCTTGAC